GTGCCCGCTGGCAACCCTCTGCTACTCTTAATGCAAACAAGACAAGTGTTCAAAATCTGCTCAGGGTAATCCTGTACTCCCCACAGCCCCTGAAGGGAAGGGGATGAACGGGCAGCACAGATTGTAGGACCTGTCGTGACCACCAGCTGGATTAATTTATCACTTCAGAATGATAACAAATCTTGTTTTAAAGACTCCAAGCAGCAGTGAGTCCATCACCACCTCCCTGGCAATCAGTTCCAGTGTTTGCTCAGCCTCCCCGTTAAGCAGTTGTTTTATTTCAAGCTTGAATTTGTCTAACTTGAGGCTGTTGGTGCCTGCTTCGCTTCTGTTAGCAAGTGAGAAAGCCCTCCATGCTCTTCTCCATGGAAGGACCCCTGCACAGTGGCTGAGTCACCTCTCCACTTCCCTTGCACTAAGCTCTTTGAGGTGCCGTGGTTCACGTCACAAGGCTCGCTTGCCTCCCTTGTTGGTACACGGCAATGTTCAGGTCTCTCTCCTAGCTTGCACACTTACTCAGAGACACATTTTGCAGTACTGTGTTAAATACTTAGCTCAGCTTTGTAATGCTTTGTTAATTATGTCTAGCGCCTGGCTAAACTTGGCATGGCCTTTAGCTTAATTGACTTTGCCGAGAATTGTCTGGTCAGGGTCTTTCTCCTCTATACTGAATCATCTGGATTGTGTGAGTTTTCAGCCCTTTCATGCTGCTACTTTCAAGTGTGCAAGACGGTTACCAGTAAAAACTACTGGCGTGACTGGTATTGTGGTATTTTCAGCTACTTCCCTTTTCAAAAGAAGCGCATGGGGATGAGCTAATTCTGTATGACTGTGCTGATAAAGGTTGGCTCTAAAACAGGTCACATTGAGCTTGCAGCACTGCAGCTTAGTCTTGAAGCAACACACCACAGTTTGGTAATATATGGACACTTTCTTACAAGCTGGCATTACCTGCTCAACTTTCTCTTAGCTAACAATGTTAGCTCCCACCTTTGCACACCCTTTCTGATGTGTGGACACCAGCAACGTCTCTGCTATCCCTTGCCTGGAGCAAAATTGCTTCCATATGTCTGCAAGCAGACATGTCATATAGCCAAGGACTCACATGCAGCAAAAAAAAAGATGTTCCGCGGCATCAATTAACCATTAAATGAAGGACCCTGCCACTGGCAGCATATACATAAATGCATTTTGATGGAGTGTGGCCATTCGGCCAAGTCACAGAGATCTCTCTTCAGCTTTAACTTGTCCTCAGTGCGTGCATCTACACAAGATGTTGACTGCAGAATTGCCTAATTAGCTTTCCTGTAGAGTCTACACGTGTGGGCCTTTTAGGCTAGTAAACTAATAAAAGGGGCCATAGGTTAGTATTTGTAAACGCAAGTACTATCCTACGGCAGTTTTATCTAGTGTGCAGCTATGTGTAGATGCTGACATGACTGACTGGGGCACAAGGGTGCTTCAGTGTGGAGGCTGCCTGCCGGCTTGCCTTGTGCCCCAGCCAGGCCCTTCATAGCACGCTGAGCTGGGCCAGAGCAGCTCTGGGTTGGCAGGCTGATCCCCCAGCCCCACTGCCAGTTGCAACAGACTCTGGCATGATATGCGCTGGAGTTTATTGTGTCTTATTAATTGCACGTGTAGATACACCCAGTATGTATAACTCAGAAATCTGTGCCATCTTCACACTTCTTGGCAATGATGATGAAAGTTATATAAAAAGCAAGAGACCCCAAACTGTTTCATAGTTTCTAGGGTCGGAAGGGACCTGAACAGATCATCAAGTCTGACCCTCTGCCCTGGGCAGAAACAAGTGCTGGGATCATAATTCCCCAGCCAGATATCTATCCAACTTCCTCTTGAAGACCCCCAAGGTAGGCGAGAACACCTTGGGAGCCCATTCCAGAGCCTGGCAGCCCTCACTGTAAAGTAATGCCTCCTGATATCAAGCCTGACCCTGCTCTCAATCAATTTGTGGCCATTATCCCTTGTTATCCCAGGGAACAGAGCCTCACCTATTCTCCACTGGTCCCCCCTGGTGAGTTTATAGATGGCCACCAGATCCCCTCTCAGTCTTCTCTTGTGGAGGCTGAATAGATTCAGGCCCTTTAATCTATCTTCACAGGTCTGCCCTGCTGCCGCCTGACCATGCAAGTGGCCCTCCTCTGGACCCTCTCAATGCTAGCCACATCCCTCTTGAAGAACTGGACGCAGTACTCCAACCATGGCCTGACCAGCACCGCCTGACATGGGCCTGACAACAGAGGAGCTCTGGGATGGATGGTACTGAAAATCCTGGATTTCTCCAGTCTGTGCTTGACACAGTAAATTGAAATGGGGCTTATGTCACCACTGCACCTTCCAAGACACAGGTCAAGCCTCTAATATGCTCTACATGTTCGGATGGTTGTGGATAATGATGGGACATGCTGTTCCCTAGGCCCTCGCTGGAACTTCATAAGCACTGTGCTGTAGCAGGATGCACAATGCTCAGCACTACCAGGCTATGCTGTCTGTATGAGACTGGCTTATTAAGATTGAAACCAACTTTCCAAATTGGGTGCAGGGACTGGCCTGGAAAACCTGAGGCTCGCAGGTTGCTTTAGTCTCTATGTACCTCCGAGTGGGACATGTCGGACAGGGAAGTTGAGTTCCAGTGTCAGTCTCATGAACCAGTAAGTGGTTAAGATGTTTCCTGTTATCCTAACTTCAATATTTTGATTAGCTTCCTGACTACAAAAATGTGTACAGAATAGTCTAAATTAATCTTATTTCAAATTCTGGACCGTTTTTACCATTGCTGGTTAAATGACTAACGAACCACCCTGTAAGCCAGCCGTCTTTTTTAATAACTTCGCAATGGGAGTTCATAGGTGGCTGTTTCTGCCTGGAATGGCCTGGCTTCAGCTGCCTGTCACAATAATCACTTCTCGCACAGCACGGAGGATGCAGCAGACACAGAAATGAGTCATCTGCAGTCGCCCTGGCAAATCTTTGTCAACTATCTGGCATAAATCTGGCCTCCACAGCACTGGAAGTGGTGTGCATTTCCTGTACAAGCGCAAATTTCAGAGGCTGGATAAGCCTAACCCCAACCCAAACTCCCTCCTCCTCCTAAGTTTTGAAAACTTTCCAGGACAGCAACTTGCTTTTTTGGGGGAAAAAGGGTTCTTAACAGGTGTGACAATTCCCTAGCTATAAAATTGCTGTCATCTCTTTCCTGTCAATGTGCTTACAGGACCCTTCAGGAATTGGTTTTGCAAGAATAGCTCCTTCTCCTGAGCAGTAGAATATCAGACCCCCAAATGTCCTGACACAACTGGAGGACAACAGAGAGGCAGGCTTCCTGCCCGGGCCAGGGTGAAAGTATAATGAACACACTACAAATTGCACCTAGCCCCGAGATTACAGGTGAGTGAAGCCTGGATGAGCCTGCCCAGTGTAGCAATCCCTCATCGGGTGTGGAGCAGGACACTCACAGAGAAGGTCTCAGTGAGCTTTGCTGTACTTACAGTTCACGGTGACCTTTACTTTCCGGATGTCTGGAGCTGCCACGTCGTTGACAGCGCTGCACTCGTACTCCCCGGACTGATCCCTGGTTATCCCCGTGATCTCCAGGTACTCATCTTCACTCACAAAGCCCCGGCCTGAAAGGAGAAGCACAGAGAAAGAGCAACGCATGAACCCATGGTCTCTACACCCTCTTGTTAGTGGGACCAGAACCAGATGCTCTGAACCAAGGGTCCTCTGGGGACCCACTTAGACTGGTGCTGTATTTTTAAAGGACCACTACCTAAGTGAGAAACCTCAGGCACAAGAATGGATGGGGGATGAAAGATAGAAGCTGGGCAAGGGGCCAGGAAACAATACCCCAGTATGGAGGCAGCACAGGGGCTGCTGTAACCACGTCTGGAGCAGGTAGAGGAGCCTGTTGGGCTTTATGCTACAGTCATCCTGGGCTGTTGTACACACCACAGGGAGCCCTGGAGAGGTCACCACAAAGTAGAACAACCCTTGCAGGTTCCCGTAGTTATGCCTGGAGACACCTGAGTAGTCCAGAGAGTGTGAAATGTATTTGCAGTCACATTTTGGCTGCCCATTGGCAGGCAACCAACCGTCCTAAAGATCCCCAAGATACAGCTTCACACATGAGCCATGCGGGACCCTAAATTTTAACACCATGGCCCAGGCAAAGAGGAGATGGGCACAGCCAGTGCTTCCTGACCCTGTAAGGGCAAGGAATTTGTTAGGATGATTCGTGCTCAGATGACCATAGGAAGAAGACCATGCAGGCGGTGCAGAAGAAGGCAAAAAATCCCATAGTCTTGGCCAACGATATCAGAGGGAAAATTCCACTGTAAATCCAAATCTGGTGAGAACATTAACTAAACCCACCTGCCTGGGTGGTTTCCCAGCACTAGCAGATCCTGGCTAGCCTCCCATCCCTAACTGTGACCAATGCTTAATGCTTCAAGGGAAGGTGAAAGAAAACCCTCATTTATGGGGGGAAAAAGAAATCTTTCAGCTCCCCCTACAAGTGAGTCCCTGAAGCATGGGATTAATAGAATATGACATGGCAGAACAAGTATTGCAAGCAGGTGAAACATTTAAGAATCAGAAAAATATATACAAGGATCAAAAAATGTAATTCAGAAAGAGCTACTGGAAATACCCAGCGCACACATGCATGTACACACACACAACACTCCCCCACCCCCAATAATATAAGCTCACTTCAAGAACACCGGCATATTGCAGACCTGCCCCTCCGAAGCCAAGCTGTGGAGGTATTCAGCCTCTAGCACCACAAAGGAGTTGAGAAACACCATACGCCTCCCTCCCACACATGCAGGCAACTCAAACAGCAGTGAAGTTTCCTTTCGACCCCCTTTCCCCACTGGTGAACACTCCCATTACATGCTCTGATTATAATTCCAAAAACACCACTCTCCTACCCATACCGTGCCCTCCATAAACTTGTCAAGGTCCAGCTTGAAGCCATTCGGGGCCCTTGCCCCCCCATGCATTGGTGAGAAGACCATTTCAGAACTTCATTCCTCTAATGATCAGAAATCATATCTACCTCAAGAGGCATTGCAAAAAGCAACTGTATCTCCTCTCAACCTGCCAAGGGGAACCACACAAACAGTTTAAAGCTGGGGACAGACATTCAAAAAGACCAAGCCTGAATTGATTCATTCTTTGCAGGTTTGCAGCTTAAACTGATTAATAGCTGGACAGACATGCTCTGTTAAACCAGGAAATGCAGGCATGTGCCTGCAGTGGCTCAAGCCAGAAGCCGGGGGTGCTAGAGCATGCCTGCCAGCCACTGCCAAAGGGGAGGGAAGAGAGATGCCCTCCAAGGTGCTCACCTCCCTGCTAGAGTGGAGGGGGTATGGCCAGGCACCAGCACACAGGGGATGGGGAAAAAGTCCTTTCTCTGAAACAAGGTATTGAACACAGCCATTTGTAAAGCATACAACAGGGAACTACCAAAAATCTTCACCTAAGCTAAGATACAGCCCAGTAAAACACAGCACACACAGCTTAGTCTAACTTAAAAAGTAAACCAGGAAGACGAGAGATAGTTTTACTGATCCTGAGGGCACAGTGTCTCCTTACAGCCTGGCATTCAGAAAGGCTTTGCTTACACGGCAGCAGCAAGGGGCACAACTCTGCACCACCACCCCTGCTGCTGCCGGGTGGGCAGGGGGCATCTCGCCATGGTGGCATGGGACTCACAGCAGTGGCGTCAAGCTTCCCTGCCCAGCCCTGCTGCGCTGTGTCCTGCCTGCTGGGCTGCAGAGGCCCCAGGGAGAGGGCAGCAGGCCAGGGAGCCCAAGCCCGCAGCGGGCAGCCCACACCCATTCCCCCGCGATGTGCTCCACTCCGGCTGTGCCCCCCTTGGGGGAGGGGGAGCCAAGCTCTGTGCTCTGTGGGGGTGGCAGCTGGGGCTCAGGCTCTGCTGTGGGGGGCAGTGGGCTGCAGACCTGAGTCCCTGGCCCCATAGCCCTGGCAACTGGGGGCCCCCTCTGGCCAGTTGTGGGTCAGGAGTGAGGGGCAATGGCATGGGCAGGGCAGTGGCATATCATGGCTCCTCAGCATCACAAAGCAGCAGTGAGGGACAGCTGCAGCTGGACCCAGGTCCTGGTGAGCAACGCGGCCAGGGGAAGCTCTAATTTTCCATGATAAAGAACCCAAAATCAAATGCCAAAATGGATAGGTATTCAGAATTTATTTTACTATAGTGATTGAGGTACTAGTAGGCCTCCAAATTGCTTTAAAATTATATAAATTATAAAATGATATCTATATAGCAGTGTTTCATTTTAATCATGGATTTTGGGGGGTTTTAAGCAGAGAATTTGCGATCTTTAAACAGAGAAAAACCAGGATCTACGATAATGACATTGTCCTTTTGCCCGCCAGGGGCTCTTGGAGGGCGACACTGAAAACCATGGTAAAGTGCTATAAAGACAGAAACCTATTCTGCTGGGCATATAAGGATTTATGCAGGCACCTCTCCACACATTACAGAAAGGAGGACGGATTCCGCTGTAATGGTGACA